TTTCTATTCATCATTTTTTTAAGGTTACATCCGCAGGTCTGTCTAAATACGCGTAAATATATATCAACTAGTAGATATTCCCCGGCCGACCGGCCTTTCGCTGCATGAAAATTCACCTCTGGCACGTTTCGATTTCTCGGAGGATCGTACGCGTATCTAGAATCATCGATTCGATTCGTTCGTCTCGCGCCAACCGGTTCCAGAACGTAGCTCAATTTCATCCAAGACTGAGCACGCCTGCAAGGGAACCGAGAAAAATTGGTCGGGTTTCATTGCGATCAGCCCGGGAATCGTAATTTGTCAGGGTCACGAAGCTTTGAGATTCGCGGCCGCGAAAATCGGGAGCAAAAGGGCGGTGGCCTCGTTGCATCAACGATCGAGCGTGATCACTGTGATTTATCTTGTTCACGGTGGCTCGTTTCACTGTCAAGTTGATACAGTCGTGTATGGTTTGTCGAGAATCGCGTGGTACAAGGATTTAGTTTAATTGAGGGTTCTGGTGATTGATGGTTGCTTCGGTGGATGGTGGTTTTTTTGAAAATTGACATTACAAGTAATTGAAGCGTGTGTATTGGTTAGGAATAATAGGAAATGATAATCATTTAGATTGTAATGTAGATATTTAGCAAGTGGAAAATGTTTTTGAGATTTAAAATAAAGAAAATATATCGTTAGGAATACTGAGGATAGCAGTAATTTAAATTATTGTAATATCAGGTAACAGAAAACGATGCATAAAAATTATACAAAAGATTAAAATGATAAAAACTTTTGTTTTACTGATTGCAGTCTTTTTTTTTACTTTTAAATCAATGTTACAACAATTGCAGTATGATTTAAAATGTATTAATGCGTGTCGTAATGTAGTAAGAATGACTTAATCGATGAAAAAGTTCTTTGGGACTTGGAATAATTAATTACAATTAATTAATATATTATTTAAAGAACAGATAAGCAAAAGAAAAGATAATGATATAAGAATTATATTATATAATGTGTGTCATGAAAGAGAGTGATTATCCAATAATTTAATAATTATGTAAATCAATTAAAATAAATGTTTAATCGATCGACCACTCGAGACTATCAATTATATAATTATCATGAAAGAAAATAATAATAATTAATAATTATGTGTGGTTTAAAATGTTAAATTAATTAAAATAGATGTAGAATTGATGACAACTCGAGACTATCACTAAATACAGATGTTTTCAATTTCGTATCAGAGAGAATGACAGTTTCATCTTATACGATGATTAAGAAAATCGGATACAGTGGTTTATATATTAAGTAGACGTTAATTGTACAAGATTGTGGTTAGCACGACTTGCAGTCTCAAACCGCGAAATAGCAGTGGTTTTATTTATTTTCTTGAATCGTTTGCCGAGAGACATCGACGTTTAACTTTATTATTTTTATTTCTCTGAAGTATTCAAGATATTACGATAATCCATTTTTCAAATAATTTTGAACTTGAAACGTAGGTGTTACGAGTATACAATATGTGTATAAATTATTACATTAATACAAATGTAATCATTCTCATCGTAATTCGACAATGAAACAATCTTTAAAATGACTTCAAGCTCGAAAGCAGCTTTTATAATAGCAGAATTTATATTAAATTTATAATATAAATTACATGAAAATAAAAAGAAAAGTAAAATATAATATAATGAAAATAAGCTACATGTAAATTAAATACAGTGAAAATAAGTGCACCTTAATTTATATTATAGTTCAATAAGCAGCTGAAGAAATTTCAAGCTTTTACAGTACCATTTTTCACAATAGATAATGCAATAATTCGACACTATAGATTTACATCAATTATTACATCGACAGAAGTAATTTATATATCGTCAACTCTAATGTGTAACAGGGCAACGAAATCTTATTATCAGACGCTCGTTAATCTCGTTACACGATTGAATGAAAAGTCTCCTTTGTCGGGTCATCGTAAGATCATCAGATTTGCTCCGCTCTTATAGGATCACGTGGATAACCAGGCGTTTGTGTGACGTTTATTAACGGTGTTCACGTTCCCGCGTCGATCAGCGGGATCGATGGGGTCGAGGTGAGAAGGTCAGATTTGCGATGATCGACTGCGACCCTGGCGTAATCGGGCAAAGTACCTCGATCGATTTACGAACTCGCTACCGAGACACGGTTCTTTCCTTCTTGTGAAAATTAATTTCCTTTTTATTTAATTATTTATTTAATACGTAATCTTGCACCTCTTATATTTTTTTATACAATATACTACAGACACACGTACAAAAATTATATGTAATATACACATATTAATTCGAGAGGAGATTAAAGAAAAATCCTCTGCAATTTGCAATCGCTTAACCACCAAAACCACGTTGCGCTACACGAGCAAATTCGGTGCTGGAGATCATGTTGCAATCGCGGTGACCACCCTCCGGGAACGAGGTGGCGACGATTACCCAAGGGCTAAATGGAATCACGGTTGGTTTGACGGCACAGCGAACGAGAACAACGGTACACGTTGCCAGATTCCCACGGTGAATCGCAGAGTACTGACTGCGCCTAGGAAACCGCGTCGAGGAAACACACCTCGGTGTGGATAATCGTTCAGGACTCGGCAACGTACGAACGCGTCCGTGTCCCGTGTTTCATTTCGATTCGAATCGCAGAGCGTTTCCCGCGTGAAATCGACCGGTCGTCGCGCGCCAACTGTCGCCCATCCGTCGGAATTGAGTCGTAGAGTGTGTGATCTTCTTGCTGGATGGCGATAATGACCGTGACGAATATTTCACACTTCCGTCTCTTTTGTTAGAATTTTTCTTGGGAGGGTTGGAGGAAGTTGGAGATTTCCATTCGTTTGGATGTAATAATTTTGCAAATCGCATCACTTCATGAGGGGAGGAAGTATCATTTTCACGAGTGTTGACGATAAATATATATTCCCGGCATCTCATTGTTCATACAGTCCGTGGATCGATAAAGATCTATGAAATTAGGGAATCGTGAGATTGCGCGAGTGAACGAAACAATAGACGCCTAATTATCCGGAAACAAATTATACAGTCGCCTCTATTTTATCCAAGTATGAACACGCCGTGCTCGTGAATAAATTCATCATAAATGTATAATGTTTGAATAAAATTTTATTCGAAATCGTTATTCGTAAAATTTTTCCTCGAATAAAATCGTTATTCGTTATTTACAAATAAATGATAGTATTTTATTCGTTATTCATTCGAATAAAATATGCCCAAGTTCTTTGCCCGGAGTTCCTAAATTATAACCAATTATCAGTGCATAAAAACTTCATCCCCAAAGAGCAATGCCCATTCTTAATCTCAGCCTCTTGAAACTCTGTCGAACCACTCCAATAGCCAGTATTATTCTCTCGCGAAAACCAACAAACAAACAACGAGAAGCTACAAGAGAAAAGGATCGAAAGCAAGGAGACAAACCAGTTGAAAAAACACTCTTAATAAAAATCCTTCTCCGTAGTCATGTACGTTGCTACCGACTCCACGAAAACATAATTCCTCCGCGTCTCTGGCGCATTGAAAAAGCGGGACGATTATATCGAAAGGGTTGCACGCGATCGGAGGCGATTGTCCACCATGGGCTGCCTTTGGCGCGTGGAAAAATGGAGTTAACGGTGTCTGAAGAAGACAGAGGAGACGAAGAAAAGAAACGAAAAAACGCTCTTTCCCCTCTGGGATGAGGAACAAAATTAGAAATTACAATCGACCGATCGGCTGGTTCATAATACGCGCGTCACGCGGACCGTGAGAAACCGGCGTACGTCCGCGTGTTATTTTTGCCGGTGATCCGTGGATCGTGACCGAGTAGAACGATCGGGAAACGCGAACCGCGGTTTCGGTTCATTAGCGGATTAACCGTGGCTTAAGTTGATGCCGCCGCGCAGTTTCTTGCTGTTCTTCCGTTGCATTTTTTTCTCTATTCTGATTAAACCATGTAGAATGAATCATAGACAGTATGAAAAGCTTTTTTTTTTTTGCACTATTTTGAAGAAGTGGTCGTGGAATTTTGAAATTTTCCTGTATTTCAGATATTAACACCTTCGATCAAGATCAAGATCGATGATCGTCATTCGCATGAATCAAAAATTATAGGACGACGAATTTACCCTTTTTCTAATAAACATTATAAAAATTCGAATCATTTGCGAAAATTTATTTTCTACGGATATGAATAGCTACGTAGTGATATAGTAATTTCAATATTAATTTCCAAGTATGTCTAGGAATTTGGGAATGTCGGAACCAGAGTTTTATAAATTCATCAATATAAAATGAATCTTGTAATCACAGTTTGTAATCTAATACAACATGCAACAACACAAATCACGCACTTTTAACAATTATCCAAAAAAATACTCGTCGATTCGAGAACAATCTCGAATAAAATCCCAACACAGAGAGATCTCAAAATCGTACAAAAGTATAATGCAAAAATTTAGACAGAGAGCTACCAAAAATTCGCCAAGATGCGTCTCTCAAGGAAAAACGCATTTCCCAATTTTTTTTTTTTTTTTCAAGAAGATCAGAGAACTAATTTTAGTAGCCGAGGAAATTCGCACGCGAACCAACGTCGGTCGGACTATGGGAAATGACGGAAGCCCGCAAGAGTCGAGGAGTGGCACACGCTTCCTGGTGCAATCTAGCGATTGTTAACGGCGCTTTTCGGCACGCATCCGCTCCCGGAGAAAGCGTATCGGCCGATATTCCTTACACCGTGGCCGCTTCCGTTCGAGTAGCGTGTGGTTTCCGGTGCGTGGCGCACGTACGATGCCGGCTGCGATACACACCGCCTCCCTGCGCATATCGATAGTCAGTCGGAACTGGGCTGTTGTTCGTGACGGTTGTGGTCCACGTGTAGTCCTGTGATTTTCAATTTTTTTTCCTTTTTTTATCGATCTTTTTTATATATATATATATATATATATATATTTTTTTTTTTTTTTTTTTTTTTTTTTTTTTTTTTTTTTTTTTTTTTTTTTTTTTTTTTGTATCCTGGGTGGTTCATAAAAATTGTGATCGTTTGCTGGTGCATGGTTTACATATTTCAGTGATCTGTTACTGATTTATTTCCTCATACGCTTCAATTGGTTTATTAAAAATGTGATCTTTTGATAGTTCAGGTTTTTAAATACTTTGATTTATTGAAATCGCGATCGATTCTCACTTTGATTTTGACTGTATTTGTTTAAGAAATTGGCTTCTTGTGCGATGTTTCTTAGCCATGGAAACAGAATAATTTATTTTTTTCTCAATGTTTCTAATTTGATTAAAAACTTCTTTAACTCGAATTACGCTGAATTAATGTCTTCTTAGCTGGAAAATTACTTAGATCTTTGTTTATTTATATTAAAGTATATCGCATAGCAACGTAAAAACATGACACACAGTAGAGTCTAATGATATTAATTGAACTTAAATTAAGATATCTCCCAATTAAGTTGCATCAGCGTAATTATCAACATATAATTGGTTGCACCATGAACGAAATATATTGATAAAACACTATCTTGTACGTTGCACGCAGAACTTCAGTGATCGAGCCTTATCGCCACGCTTTCGAGCTTCGACTTGTTACATTATCTTGTCGAATCGCCACAATTGAAGTCAAAAGTATCCAGAGAAAAACTCGAATTAACTGTCGTGAACTTTGGAAGAAGCGATATTACGAGCGCAATCAAAAGCATTGCAATATCAAGTATTTTGAAAGAGAATTTAATCAAAAGTATCACGGAATTGAAATAAAGAGAGGCATAACTTCCGCAAACATGTTCTCTTGTATTTGCATTTTCCTTTGAATCGCCAGCAAAAGAAGGATATTTGCGAGCGTGAAGTAGTTAAAAGAAGAATGTCCATCGTGCGCGTCTGAAATTGAAAACTTCTCCATCGATCAAAAGCGTCAAAATCTACGTGTCGCGATATAAAAAAAAGAAAGGAAAAGAAAAAAAAAAACTGTAAATTTACGGGATGGCGGCGTTTCCACTCGCCGGCTGGGAATCTCCTGGACACAGCCTGGGAATATCCTGTCAGAACTCTCGCATTCCGGATCGCCGAGTCGGAGTTATGAAATACCGAAGTGGAAACGCTCGAGCTGCCATGAGAGGTGGTTTTGCATTTCACTCGATCTCTCGATCGAATTCCATCTGTACTCTGTCTCTGTCCGTTATACGATCATTTCTGTTTCGTCGTCTTTCTCTCTCCTCCGCCGCCTTTGTTTCGTCTAGATCCAGGGAATTTTCCAGTCACACGAATTTTCTCTCACGAATTTCCATTTGCGATAATTGATATTTACATATCAATTGTGGATAGAAGTCGAAGGAAATTGGTATTTCTTTTTTTATATGTATACTATACTTTTTCCCAAACGTGGAATTTTGAAAAGAACAATGAATTGTTTAATCCATTGAGTGCTTAAACTTACCAAAAATTTATAGATTTATTGTTGAGTGGGCTTGTATTGAAAATTCTATCAAATACATTGTAATGTGCTATTCTCTTTATCTCTAATAAGTAAAACAATTATTTCATTATTGATTATAGCAGTGTCAGTGTCGTCGCAAGAATACTCTAATGAGAACACTCAAAGAATTAAACGAATATATTTACGATGATTTATTTATGAATATTTTATTTGTTTATGATGACTTTTTGCAAAGACGATTATCGAAATTTGCTTTGAGTAAAGATTTGTTTCACTCACTAGATATTATAATGTACAGTAAATATATTTTAAATATTTTACATACCGATACTCATGAAAGTATTACAGTATATTGTTATGTTTGTTATGATTTCTTTGTGAGATTGTGTAATTCAATTTAAATCCCATTTCATAGATGAACTTGTGGACCGTTCTTTAATTTTAACCCTTTAATCCCTTTGGGTTTCTCTAAAGAAAGGCTCCCGGGACACCTTTCCCATAAATACCACCTTTTATTTTTCCTATACCTTCTGTGAGGATCAGTTACAGTTATTTAATGATACGTTTTGACGATGTAACAGGTAGGATATTAACGAAAAAGGACGTTGAATTCTTTCGATGAAATTTTCTTCAGTTGGTCCAGTTCTTCAAAAACTTGTCCTAGAGTTATTACAAGTTATTAGATTCACTAACATTAAATCCAGATTCGAATACTTGACTCGAAAAATGTACAAAAAGCAAAGTATGGATGCCCGGAGTAATTAGTAATTTAACATTATTTTATTGTCTTTTATTATAAAGTTTGTGAAACTTGCGGTACAAGTACGGTTCATAAAATGTCTTCGATTGTTAGATTAACGTGTGCCATTTTGTTTCTTGTTGCAGCACCAAGATCATCCAGCGCGGGCACGAACAATCTGCCACCGTTGATGTTCCATCATGTTCACGGTGAGAATATCAGACTCTGCAATGGCGGAACCATCGCCAGAAGATACGAAAGCTTCTGCAGAGGCATCACGTTCAGCGCTCGACCCGTTCGGGTTGGCGAAAAGGTAAACTTCACGAAAATTTACCATTAACTTACAGAAATGAATATTGAGAAACATATTGACAACAACAAGATTCTTACGATGTCCCAGTCTCTTTAACATACCAATAAATGACTATAATTAATTGCACGTCAATTAAATCGAATTATTAACTCGTAATAACCTCTATTATTTTCTAATTTCGCAAAAAATACATTTACATTGCAAAATTAAGATGAAGATAATAAATTTTAATTTATCTTACATTGAAGATAAATTTGGAAAGACACATTGATTGATAATAAAACGAATAACTTATAGTTAAATTATAGTTAAATAAAATATAGTTTTTTAACACTACAATGTTGAATATTTATTTTGTTCAGTGTAACGTAATTGTTAACAATTCTGATATCATTACAATTTCCTCGATTCCTCAATTTCAGAATTATATTAAAGTCACTAAAATCCTACTAAAGAAAGAGAAACTCATCAGTTAAACTATTGCGACAAATTTGGAAAAATATATTATAATAAAATACAGTTGCCACAGAGTGGATGATTCGTAGAAACAAATTTTTCGAGTGCTATGCTTTTTCATATACCACTGGATATTTATTTTGTTCGCTGTTAATTATTAATTATACATTTATTAGAATCGTCAATGTTCCCTGGCGGTGATCCTTCGATTATCGTAAAACAATTTAACTTATTGTTTAGTAAAGTAACAAGTTAACGAGAGTTAAACCTGTTTTTGCTAAAGCCCCCATTGAAAAAAAAGTCATCGGTCATCGGATCAGCAATTATACCTGCACGGTAGAAACATTCCCATGGAACACACTCTCGACGCCAGGCAACACGCGTAACAAACCTCCGAGGTCGATGCAATTAATCGATTCGAGCCAGAGATATTTCCCCACCGGTGAAAAACACCGGTTTTCCTGCGTTTCCTCGTTCTCTACCGCGTAAATCGTATACGCCAGCGGAACAGTTAATTGTGAGAATTGGGTGACTGTTGTTCCGCTCGACAGCTTTCGTCATTTGCATTTTCTGCGTCCGAGCAGAAAACTGACCCTGAACAATGACCGAGCTGAGCAATTTCGCGTGGGCCGATAATTTAGCCTTAGGTTTGATTTGCTTGGATATCTTCTCGCTGAGATCATTTAATTTGCGTTGCTCGAGTAAAACAGAAACAATTTTCGTGGCGGTAGACTAGATTTTCGTTTCATTTTTAATCCCTAGCTGATGCCGTTGGGTTGACTGCTTTGCTAGTTAAGTATGACAATTTAAATGTATATTTGTCGAATTAAATTTCCATGAAGAAAGTGCAATGTTCATCATTGTTGAATAATAATCATTATACGATACGTGGTACAATTTTTGTAAAAAGAAATGCAAATGCAGTGTGTTTGTTGAATAAGAATATAATAATTTGTAACACAATTTTTGCGGAATTAAACTTTGAAAAAGCATATCCAGGTTTGTTGTACGAGGACCATAATATCTAATACGGTGTTTACTTTTTTTTTAAGAAGCTTTAAAAATTAAATTGTCTTGAGTCGACGTACGTCTGTTTAATATCCAGCGGGTATTAAACAAATTATCAATCGGTATTCCACAAATGATTCACCAAGTGCACTGTGTACGTATTTATTAAGCAAATAACACTGGATATTCGCCAAATAGTGAATATCAATGTCCAGTGCCGAATTCGTAGAATTGATTTTCGTATGTGTGTTCTTAAACTGCAGAAATTAATTTCAGACTCACTTTGGTTAGGTTTGAATCGCGGATTAAATTAATATTTTATATTCAGCAAACACTGATCTTAATAGAGAAGTAGTATAATAAACAAATAGACAGAATCTATCTTTAATCTAATATTTTTTTTTTTTTAAATAAATTGTTGCATGTTTGAATATTGATCCATTTTTCATTTCCAATAAATATCTTAATTTTCCAAATTCAATATCTTAATTCTTTTATTTAAAGTTCAGAAAATCATTCAAAATTGAGAAAATTAAATGATACTTTATATATATTAATAATACTTAGTACCTATTGTTGATACTAAGTAATATTTACGTGTGAAGGAAATTTCTAAACCATTGACACTATATTACAAACTATTACATTGTATTATATTACAAAATGTTGTACCATAAAATGCACGCACGACTAGAAAATATTGCCATTAGAAGATCAATCTAAAACCAGGAAAACCATTGCACTGTAAAGTATAGTCAGAAAATTTCATTGTCTAAGAGACAAATGTTGAACGTTAAAAAAACCACTGACACGCCAAAGACACGTACAACGCATTCTCTCGCAAGATCCGTTCAGAATTTGAAAGTTGATGAAAACGATAGAACGCGAATCATTCTGAGGTATTCGCGTGGGTGGGCGCTGGTCTTGGAAATTACTATGTGAAATTGCTACGAGAGAAACGACGATCTCGCGTCTTCGCGTTAAAATTGATGCAATTAACTTAACTATCATTAGTGTCTCTCTTCCTTTCCGTTCTTTCCCAACAGGATTGATTACAACCTTCGAACAATTCACTCTACGACGTGGCGCAAACATCAAAAAGTACCCGACACGAAGTATATATCCATCTCCATTTCTTCGTTTTCTCCTCGAGAAAACCTTTTCGTTTTTTCCGTTTCCTGGATTTAGTCGTCGATCGTAATCATGAACCGTGAACCCAGTGGCTTAATCGTAAATCATTTCGAAAAGACAAAACGCACCGGCAGAGACGTTCGGTTCTCGGAAAAAGAATATCGACGAGGACTCGATATTTCGTAACTGTTCCCCGCTGTTAACTGCCGGCTTTGGGATTTTCATCACGTTCAGCCTCGTGACATAACGTGGCCAAACTTGGTCCCGTTGTGCACGAAATCCTGCTAGGCTCTATGAATCCCGTAGAAACGAGAATAACACTGAAATACGAGTTCACCTTACCAGTGAATTTGAAGATTTAACAATTAGTATTGTAACGTGACACTTTTTAGGATCTTTTACGAGTTTCAGTATAGTTACTTTTCATTTTATGTAATTGTATTGTTGAGTTAGTTCGAGAAGAATTCTAAACATTTAGAAACAAAATGTTTCTTGTTAAAAAAATTTAATGTTTTTTGACTTTTCAATGAATTTTAATTACAATCCTCTGAAGGGTTATACATCTTATACTTATATAGAAAATAGTTATTAGGAATTTTTACAAAATTTCTCAGGGCAAAATGAGAACAGTCGCACAGAGATAAGCTGAAGAAAATTCAACATTTGTTGTCGAGGATACTAAAATAGAAATATTACCGATGATATAAATTCAATTGAAATAATTTGAAAACTAAAGGAAATTCTTATATTTGATAAGATCAGAAAGACTGGAAGCTTGTGTCATAAGAATTCTAAGAAAAGAAGGTTCAGGTATCTACGACCTATTAAAAGTATCCTCGTGATCAATTCTAGGCCATTCTAGGCTTATTGAGTTCTTTGAGTGATGCATGGACTTTCGATAGAATGTTAGCAATTTGGAAGAAATCGTAGGACCTTAGATATTTTAATTGCTAGCCTGAATTCTGCTTGGTCTTATTGCTCAATGGACGAAACGTGTTTAAAGTACGCAAAGTAGAGAGAGTTTCCAAGAGTAATTACACGAGATCTTGTAAAATTTCTCCTTTGTACTAAATATGAAAATAATAAAGTTTCTAGTGAATATTTAATCTTAAAATCACAGTAACAACGCTCTAAAGTATAACAAATGAAAGCACTTGTAAAATATTCAGCATGAAATTTATAACTAGACTACTAGGTTTTTATAGAAATGCATGCTTTTGAAGATGAAGAATCTTGACAGGAAACTGCCACTTTGAATATTTTACAGATTTTTCCATGTAATACACATAATATGTATTTCATGCAACTCTGTGTTTTTGAAAATCCAATTGTTGAAAATTAATTTCGAATAAATCACTATTACATAACAGATTATGAAAACTAATTTCCATTGGACAAAGAATTTCCTTGACTAGATCAGGATCACAATTAGAGCCAAGTTACGTAGAAAGTAGCCAATCCTCAATGATCCAGTTTGAAGAGTTTAATTTAAGAAGAGAAACGAGCTTTGTTACTTTATTTAATAGTTCATTCAATATTGAGTAATGTAGGTAATAGAAGTAGACAAACAAGTCTAGAATGGAACCGTAGCTTGATAGTTCTGCAACTGTTTTGCATAAAATAAAAATGACACAATCAATGCGATTCGTGTACTGTGTTGATAACTTACACACTTACATAATTAATCATAATATAGTTGGATCTATCTCCCGTTTTATTCTAATCTATTGTTGTTCTTCTTCCAGGTCTGTGTCAAATTCCTCGAGATCTCGGACAACTGGAGCGGCGTGATCCGGTTCGGTTTCACCAGCAACGACCCGATCAACCTGCGAAATGGCCTTCCAAGGTACGCCTGCCCGGACCTCACGAACAAACCCGGCTACTGGGCGAAGGCCATGGCCGAGAGGTTCGCCGAAAGGGATACGGTGCTCTTCTATTACGTCACATCCGCCGGAGACGTGCACTTCGGCGTGAACGGCGAGGAAAAGGGCGTGTTCTTCAGCGGCGTGGAGACACGGGGCCCTTTGTGGGCAATCATCGACGTGTACGGCAACAGCACTGCCATCGAGTTCGTCGATCCCAACAGGCAACACTTCAACAACATCAGGAGAGGCACCGAGCACAGCAACGAAGATAACGCGCAACACAGCAGGCACTCGGCCATGGACGACGCGAGCAACGCGAGCAGAGACGTCGAGAGGATCATCGTTTCGTCCATGCAGGGCATTTCCATCCATCACGAGCCCGATGTCGAGCTACCTGGACTCAGGTTTCAGCCGGCCGGTGTCATCTTCACGCCGCTACCCTTCCACTCGTGAGTAGCTTCGGGGATAATTCGCAACGCGATCGCGAGATCGAGCTTTTCACTCTTTTGCTAGTTGGCGAAGATCTTTGATGATCACAGAGAAGTTGGAGAATTTTTTCTTTATATATAAAAGTAGAAGTCGGGTTTCTGTTATAGTTCTGATAGGTTTTATTTTGTTGTATTTTAATGCTGTTACATATAATTCTTATAAATGACGACGATAATTATTATTATTTTACCAGTTAAATAACATCAGTTCTTTTCTACTGAAAGAGTGTTAACTCGACCGCAAAATCTTCACCGCTTAGAACCTCTATTTACCTATGTACATAATAAACTTCAAATCCACACTACCCAACGTCACATCCTAGTTCTTCGGACACTGGCTTCTAAGCAAACATTGATCGGCTCTAAACTGACGTTTAAACGTCATTACCATTCCCACCATATCCTCTAATGGTTTCTTGGTTTCTTCATTTTCCAGAACCCGAGGCAGGAACATCCGCTTCAGTAACCAGCAGTGCGTGGCGACGCGGACCGACACGGAATTCTGTCACGGCTATGCGTTCACAAACCAGCCGTTGCTACTGGGCGAGCGATTGGTCGTGCAGATCCTCGCCACAGAACCCATGTACGTTGGCGCTCTGGCTCTAGGTCTCACTTCTTGCGACCCAGCTCGACTGACCCCTGAAGACCTGCCTGACGATAGCGATCTCTTGCTGGATCGTCCAGAGTACTGGGTAGTCTCGAAGGATGTCGCGTCGAGTCCTCAGCCTGGCGACGAGATAGCCTTCACGGTGACTCACTTCGGTGAGGTTCAAATGAGCAAGAACGGCGGGCCGCCAAACGTGGTGATGCACGTGGACCAAAGTCTTCAGTTGTGGGCGTTCTTCGACGTGTACGGTAGCACGCAACGTGTCAGAATGCTGGCCGAAAGACCCACGTCGCCACCGAGACAACGCCAAAGCAATCCATCGCCAGCCACCATCCTGCAACAGCAGCAGCAGCAGCAACAACAACAGCAACAACAGCAACATTGCAATCACAGTAACGCAGCCACCGAACTGTCCAGATTTTCCGAGATGGTTCAGTTCAAACCAGCCATCGGTGGTGGCACCGTGTTGGTTGTGAACCTTCCCCCTCAGACTAGTTACGTTACACCGTCCTCGTCAACGCCACAGCCCACGTACGTCTCTGCTGGACACAGGAATCAACACGTGCACCTTCCAGCGGTCACCGCTACGTCGTCCACGGCGTCCACGTCGCACCCCGGATCTTCCAGACAGTCCTCGCCGCCTCTAACAGGCACCATGGCCAGTACAGGCTCGTCCACGTACGTGGAGCCGGTGAATTATCAAAGTCTCGACGGTACACTCACCTCGCAGGCATCCTCCCACTTGCAGCAATGGAGCGAGGGCCTGCAACCTACGCCCGGGCAACCGAACGAATGCTCGGTCTGCTACGAAAGAAGCATCGACAGCGTGCTGTACATGTGCGGTCACATGTGCATGTGCTACCCTTGCGCGATCCAGCAATGGTGCGGCAAAGGTGGCGGACACTGCCCACTCTGCAGAGCGACCATCAGGGACGTGATCCGTATCTATAGATCCTGAACGACGGCGCAGCCACTCCGCGGGAGGAACGGTTCCAGGGGCTAATTGACGCCCGGTCAAGTCGCGCTAGTACGTCTTCTCGGAACAAGCAAACGCCGTAGCTTCGTCACACGATTCACCATCTGTGACAGCGTGCGACATTTTTCAAGTTCTCGTCCGCGAAGAAGCAACGCTCAGAATGAACGTGTACGGCGAACATCTTCGGCAACGAAGAGGTTGCAGAAGCCAAGCCCAACTGTTCTACTGCCGATTCTGAGATTTGGTCCCGTTTGGTGGGGACCGAAGGTTGAGTTGGTCACGAGGTTCTCAGGATCTTAGAACTTTAGGAAACGGCGAAGACGCTGTCGGAAATAATATCTCAGATGTGGAGGGAAGAGATTAGTCGCGTCTATTGCCACGAAAATCATTAGCAGGACTGCGAGACGAGAACACGTGGAGTATCTTTGTTCGTCGGCGGTTTTGCTATCCTCGTAAACGTCAATGAGATTCGCTCAGTGTCGCCCAAAACTGTTCTATTTCGTTTCGCGAGCGAGTGATGCGAAGATTCTGTGTACGCGTGTACGCCTTTGAGCTTTTGACAGAGAACAAAACGAATGAGAGTGAGACGTATGAGAGATGAAGAAGCGAATGAGTGAAGAAACTAGGAAAGAAAGAGAGTAATATTGATCTTAGATATTTTCACAATCGACATTATACATATATGTATATATATATATTATATATATTATATACTATATATATATACTATATATATATATATATATTATCGCTACCGTTACTATCATTACCACTTACTGCTGCTACTATTCTCTCAAGCCTTTAGTTATTATTTTTATTTGTACGATTAGTAATATTATCATGATTCTGCAACGACAATACCGGTCGTAATGTTATTCTTGTATGGAGAAAGTAACCTTGATGATGGATACCATTATTTTTTATCACTCCGGTGTAATCTCGAAGAGAGGTCACCTGGATCTTTAGTCGAAATCGATCGTGGTGTCGTTCTATTTTATTTAATGATTTAAAAGAAAAATAAACAAAAAAAAAAAAAAAAAAAAAAAAAAAAAAAAAAAAAAAGGAAACGCTCGTGTGTTTGGTGAAACATGCGCCTAGGGCGCGGTTAGATTTATGTCGCTTTCACACCCCCATCTGGGTTCTTATGTTAGTCGTTCTTTTTTTTGACTCTTTCGTCTCTCGATTCGCTCGCGCAGAGTCGGAACGATCGCGATTTTATTGTTGTGTGTCCTCGAGCTTGCAAGACGCCGCGAGTGCGTCCCTTCCTCGTTTGTTACTTTCGACAATAACGTGCTTGGACATGTAACGTGTATAACTTTGAAGTTGTTGACGGTTCGAGCGACCATAAGTAACTGCGTCGTGTGTATAAAAACGACTGCTACGTATAAAAAAAACGTCGTACGTATTACCAAAGAAACAACGCGACACGTATATGATTCCTCCTCCGCTCTGCGTATGTTTCGACACGGAACTCGCACGCGCGCTCCTCCACGCAGCCAGCCTTAAATGGACGAATGAGTTTTTGATACGTTTTAGAATTTAGCGTTACCGTTTTCTACCGAATTCGCGCGCCCCTCCCATACACGCAAGAAACGTTATTACACGGAGAAAAACAACGTAAACTCGTCCCTGGCAGTTGCAACAACGCGAATCCTGGCGACGCGTTTAATTGGAATAACTGCGAGGACCGAGGCATCCAATTGCAAATTGTATTCCTTTGGAGGATGTAACTTTTCAATATCGTAGAATTCTTTACGGAAGATTGTTCCACGTGGTGTATTTGATATGAATTTTATCATCTTATATCATTGATTTACATACATTTGCTAGCGTTGTAACAAAAGATGATCCAACAACGTTCAAGGATCAGTTATATCAATATGCTACAATAACGATAATATTAAAGAAAGTCCAACCGATAATACCGATTTACGTGACGTTCTAGTCTTTCAGAAAGATACAGTTGCGAATTGCGAAACCTCCGGAACCACCGTGAATCGAGAAAGCGAAAAAAAAGCCTAGAATCGTTCGTGTCACTCTTGTTCGGCGTAAGAAGCGGTCCAGCGAGACGCTAAACATATCTCTAACTGCAGACCTCCGCGTTGCATTTCCTAACTTCATTAACGACAAAAGTACAAGCCAAGTTACTATACACTAGATTGCGTAGCGTTCTAAGGGGAGAAAAAAATGTTTAGAGGCTTTTATCAGTGTTGACGACTAAAATGGAATTATTTGAGGCGCTTGATAGCCAAGCGGACGTTGGCTTGGCAGCCATCGAACTTTCGTTCCGACTCTTTAACTCCGATAAAAAAAAAACGGTACCTTACCTTATTCTTAACTGACAATTGCGTTTCGATCGTCGATCACGATCCAACATCTCTCGGCTATCGAGTCTCTCTCATTTGTTATGGACTAAAAGGGATTTATAGAATCTCGTAGCGTCTCGCTCCGACCACGTTCTGTCCATGACCTGTCTGGCGATCGTAGCGAGCGTTTTGCCAATTGTAATTTGCCTGGACGAGTAATATTACTGCCCCCTCCCCTCTCCACGAAGTTCGCGCCAATTCGCCTCGACGCGAACGGAGTTTATCGAGTCGACTGACCGTGGAACGATAAACGACGATCTCGTTTCACGGTCTGTCGAGTTCTACTGAGGAGGATCTCATCCTCGTCGCGTGAGATCGCTTTATTTTCGTACAGCAAGTTGAGACGATGCCGAGGACTGGCGGCCTCACGCGGAAGACGCCAGAAAATCCAAGAGAAACGACAAGAAAAAAGAAAAGAAATGAAACACAAAACGAAGAACGAAGAAGCGAGAAGAATGATGTGTCCTAATGACGATCCGAGAGACGAGCGTCCTCGTGGCCGTGCCTTATAGACAGTTTTGCCGACAGTCGGCATCTCGCGTCGTGCGACTCGCGCTTTGCTCGTTCGAGCGTCCTCCTATCGATCGACGGAGATCGCCCTGGCCAGAAGTTCGTCTCCCGATCATTCGTTCCGGGTGGGCCGTTGCTCCGCAACGATCGGCCCCGTTCAGCCCAACTCGCAGATTAAAACGTTCGCGAGGGTAAGAAAGAAACGAGCAACGCAATCGTTTTGCTGTTTATCACATTGGTACACTCGTTTGGGACTCGTTTAATTCTCGATCGACGTCGTATCTGTGATGCGTTTTAATGGGAGTAGGGAAGATTGTAGGGAAATGAGAGGTTGGTCTGATTTTCTTCCGAGTTTTTTTTTTTTTTCTTTTGTAATGAATTTATTTTTCATTGGAGGTATTTGACATTACGTCATTGGTATTTGGAATTGCACAAAACTGCGAGGTGCGTTATATGTTTTGCCTAAACACGTATCGACAATAATCAAATGCGTTTCAATGCCAAGGAACAAGCGTTATATATTACATTGGGTTGCACGCGAAATGCACGTGAAAATTCACGTAACGCGTGTTTGTACGCTTGAAATGTATCCTTTACGCGAGAAACGTACAGACACGCGACTGCCACGTCACCGAGTCTAGTCTCTACGAAATTCAACGACCGACGTTTTATTATTTTCCCACGCCGCGCAGGTGAAAATCAACTTTCAATTTGTCGCTCGTGCCAGCAGCAAACGCATCACAAAGCGCGAGCATTCATTCAGCGTGTTCAATGCGTTCAATCGGAAGGAGATCGAGGTTGCTCGTTCAACGATTCTCACAACGCGATACCGAAGAAATCCGGCGAGAAAAGAAAAAATAATTGAAAAATACTTGAGCGTCTCTTTCCACCGAGAAACAAATTGCCCGTGGACGCACTTTGTTCGTGCAGTGAAGGAACGCTCGTGAGTATATATATATATATATATTTAAAACGGGAAAGGAAGAATCGCTGGAGAGAGAAAGAATAAGAAAGAAAGAAGGATCGAAGTAGACCGATTGCGAAAAACGGTGGAAAGAAAAGAAAAGAGAAGAGAGAGACGTCACATCACAGACGTCAAATTGGGATTGCGGTGTTAGAAACGCGCGTTCCGCGAGAGGAAGAAACTCGGAAAGAGATTAGAGACACAACGAGTGAAAGAGAAAAGAAAAACTGTATCGTCGGACAATGGATGTCGGGCAATAAAGCAGTAGTGAAATGTCTAGTCCAGCGAGCGGCAGCTTTAACTTGTCTGCTGATCCAAAAAAGAAATGAGATGATAAATGATGATGATAATTGTATTGGAATTAAAGAGAGAGAGAGAGAGAAAGGTGATCTTTAAACAAAACGAAACAAAACAAAAAGAAAAGAAATAACGGTTAAGTATGTACGAGAGTAAGAGTGAGAGAGTGTGGAACGGTCGCGCGAGTGCATTTGTATGGTGAGTATGAGAAGAGAACGAGAGAGTGGAGAGAAATTTTATATAAAATACAAAGTTTTAAATGAAAGAAAGTTTGCTGATTATTATCGCGCGTGTCGAGCAGAGATCATACGAAGCCACGCGACACACGCAACGAGAATCTTTTTATTAGGATACTCTATTTACGATAGGATCATAATAGTCGTAATCGCGCTCGACTTCGATGAAAGGTGTCAGAGGCGAAACGTCGTTCAATATTCGCTCTTCCTGTTTCGCGTTACTATGTCGAACGTTTGTAAAAATGTGGAGAAAAAATGTAGAAAGAAGAAGGAAGTGAGAAAAGATGAAGTTCATCGCCGTTCAACGTGAACCTAACTAACGAACAGAAATGATCGATAGGTAGGCGTTCCTTCGCCGATGAAAACGATATATCTAGACGAATATATATTCCTAAGAATCGAATGAACAGACGCTGTCGTTAATGCCACCGGGTCATTGTCGTCGTGACACTTATTACCATTGTATATCGGTGTACCGATCGATCGATGTCTTTTACTTTTTGTCATCGTCGTTGTGGTTCTTCTCACATTTCCTTCCCCGCCCTCATCATCCCTCGCCGTTTTTCTTTTTTTCATCGTAAGTTCATCGTTTGGTTTTTTCCTTTATTTTTTTTTTTTTTTTTATATAATAGACGAACTCGATTAGCAAGTTGGAATTTCCTTTTTTCTTGATTGATTGTCACGCGCGGGGACGCTGTTCCAGGTCCTCTCTTATTTTTTATTACTATTTTTTTATTATTATTACTATTATTGATATTATTATTATTATTATTATTATTATTATTATTATTATTATTATTATTATTATTATTATCGTCATTATCATTATCTTTATTATTATTATTATTATTAATATTATTATTGCCTTTTTTCTTGCACCACTCAGCGAGATAAGCATAAAAAAAAAAAAAAAAGAAGAAAAAGAAGGAAGAAGAGCAATTTCGAAGCGTATATGAATGCGATGGGAAGCGCGAGGGCGCGTATACGCGTTTTCATATCAGGTGTGCTGTCCGTTACGTCGTGGTTTGGGAAGAAAGAGAATGGTAGAAAAGAAAAATGAAAAAAGAAAAAAAAAAAAAAGTAAAGATGTCACCCTTGTCCCGCCCTTCGAGATTGAAAGATGATTCTATGTGCGATAAGAGTTCTCTGTAACTAAAGCTATCGATTACGAATTTATACATATGTAATATAATTCGTGTAGCCGCGTGCTGTCCTACACAATAAAAAGCCTGTAATATCTATGAATCCGTATGGGTCGTCTTGCAATTATCGCCCTTCCCTTCACAAGAATAAATCGAACGTCGTAATTATCTTGAAAGACGTTTGTCCAACGTTTTTTTAAATTGTTTCTAAATAAATATATTAATCTTCAACTATTGTCCTCCAATAATGACATACTATTGATTTTTCAATTTGGAAAAAATAGCTTGACAAAGCAATATCGATTTAATTCAATTAGTCGAGAGTAGCGTGAAATTTCAAATATAATTTCATTTTAGGAAAGAAACAAACTTTTATTCACAAAATAAAAGTTTACAAATTGTGTATACGTACATTAAAAGTAAAACTATCTATTAAAACAATGTACAGAACCACTAGAAACAAAATCAACAAAAACATAGTGTATAGTTTGTACAAAAATCGTTCTCGTAAAATATTTCTGGATGAAAAAAGACGAATCTCGCGTCAGAAATATGACGCCCGTTTAATTTTCATCTTCACCCTCGCCAGCGTCTGTCGAGTCCATGCCGACTTCTTCGTAATCTTTCTCCAAAGCAGCGAGATCTTCTCTGGCTTCGTTAAACTCGCTCACCTCCATGTTTTCATTCACGTACCTACATTTTATCGCCAAAATAATTAGAGATCTCAATACGAATCCTTTAATATAAACTGTATTATTAATTCATTTGATTTATCATTAAATGAATTTTATTACGAACTTGTCAAAAATTTTTATTTCTAACTCGAAATAAAAGTTGCCGATCGTCTTCCTATTTTCTTTGAGAAATAAAATTAACTTTCGCGTTAATATAATTTACCAATGAATAAATGCGTGTTTCCCGAACATCAGATCGAATTTCCTATTTAATCTCGTGTATGCTTCAGCGATTGCTGTGGTATTTGCAAGCATTGCCATAGCGCGTTGCACTTTGGCAAGATCCCCACCAGGCACCACTGTTGGCGGTTGATAATTAATTCCTACCTAAAAATCCAATTAACATCTTCAATTGTCGACTGTTACCTGCCTTTCAATGTTTCTTCAAAAAAGACATAAGAAATACCACCTTGAAATAAATTAAATTAAAAATATTCGTAATCTCGAGCCACCAATAATCCAGATGACCAATAATCCCATTTGGAGAGAAGAAAAAAAAAAAGTTTCATTCGATTCAAAAATTCCAATTCTTGTTTCAATCGTTTCGATTAAAAATTGTGTAAACACAAATTCTATGACGTTTCAATATCTCATGGCTAATGTAACGTTACAGATTACAGATTAACCAATATTTATTCAAGCATCCGTCAAAAAAAAAAAAAAAAAAAAAATCGTAGGAGGAGAGAAGAATCCTTTACCTTAAAGCCAGTAGGGCACCAGTCAACAAACTGTATCGCCCTCTTCGTCTTGATGGTCGCGATAGAGGCGTTCACGTCTTTCGGGACCACGTCCCCTCTGTACAACAGGCAGCACGCCATGTATTTCCCCATCTGTGGATTGCATTTGACCATTTGCATGGCCGGTTCGAAGCACGAGGACGTCAGCTCCATCACCGTCAATTGTTCGTGGTAAGCTTTCTCAATCGAGACGATCGGCGCGTACGTGACTAAAGGGAAATGAATCCTCGGGTACGGGACCAGATTCGTTTGGAACTCCGTTAAATCCACGTTCAACGCCCCATCGAATCTCAACGAGGCCGTGATCGACGACACTATCTGCCCGATTAATCTGTTCAGGTTCGTGTACGTCGGCCTTTCTATGTCTAAATTTCGCCTGCAGATGTCGTAGATCGCCTCGTTGTCGACGAGGAACGCGCAGTCCGAGTGCTCCAACGTCGTGTGCGTGGTTAAGATTGCGTTGTAAGGTTCAACCACCGCGGTGGAGATTTGCGGCGAGGGATAAATGGCGAACTCGAGCTTGGCCTTCTTGCCGTAGTCTACGGAGAGCTGCTCCATTAGCAGGCTGGTGAATCCGGAACCGGTGCCACCGCCGAACGCGTGGAATATCAGGAAACCTTGGAGAGCGGTGCACATGTCGGCGATCTTGCGAATTCTGTCGAGGACCAGATCGATTATCTCCTTGCCGAGGGTGTAGTGACCCCGAGCGTAGTTGTTCGCCGCGTCCTCTTTGCCGGAGATCAGTTGCTCCGGGTGGAATAATTGATGATAGGTTCCCGTTCGAACTTCGTCTGAAATTGTAGAACGACAAGATAAGGGACGTTCTGAACGTTGCTCGATTTCTTCAACCGTACGTAGCTGTTTCACAGCAAACACGATTTGCAAAACGATTTATGTAATCAGAATGACTGGTCAGAGTTAAACCTACCGATGACCGTTGGCTCAAGGTCCAGAAATACAGCCCGCGGGACGTATTTTCCGCCGCCAGTTTCGCTGAAGAATGTTTGAAAGCCTTCGTCGCTGGAGCAACTCTGGGGCGGAAGCATGCCATCGGGTTGTATGCCGTGCTCTAAGCAATACAGCTCCCAACAGGCGTTGCCCATTTGAACGCCCCCTTGGCCAATGTGAACCGACAGTACTTCACGCTTACGGATTAAATAAGTAAAACTGTTACAATTTCCTCTACTTTTGAATATTATCAGCTATGAACAAGAATCATTATATGTAATGTTATAGGAAATATTAGCGATATCGATTACTATTAACGTTGTTAATAATTATAAAATATGTGATTTTTATGTATAATGTTTCAAGACACGCTGTCATTAGGAATAGTATAAGTTGTTAATGCAAATTAATAACAAATCTATCGGATCTATCGATAGGTAACAATTTCCTTTCCAGCAAATGTAAATTTCTTTCTACGAGCAGTGGAAATTTAAATGGCGGTCTTACTTTTCTACGTAATTATCGGAATATTTGGCTGCACGTGAACAACTAAAATTAAAGAAACAATTACCATTTTGGCGAATTGTAGATGACTCGGTGAAAGTAAGGAGAGAGGCGAATCTTGACAGGATGGATGCCTGAATTCAAAACTGAATGAACTGCACGTTTTGTTACAAGCACATTTTGTTTCTGTTGCTATGAAACAAGAATTGTAACAAAATACAAGGTGTCTCTGTCAGGAATATCGTAAAACCGATTGTCACAGAGCGATACCTATTTGATAGTTAGAATCGATTACCTCTTACTCACCTTACGAGTTCTTCCCAGCATTCCATCCCATACATAATCGTTTTTCATACAAATTCTAATGTAATAATTATGTTCTTTGGAAGTTTCTTCTTAAACAATGACGTATTTATTTAAAAATTAATATATTAATTTTTATGAAACAACGTGTAATGTTTTTTTTTTTTTTTTTTTTAATGGTTAGAAATGATCTTGAGGTTTTGAAGATTATCGATGATTCTTGAGATGCATACAGTAACAGTTACTATTGTTAAACAAAGCTCAAGATTTTCGAAAGGGTGAAACTCACCCCTGTTGGAAGAACATTTTTTCAGTATGTTTGAACTGACGAGGTGGCCGAGAGGTTAAGGCGTTGGACTGCTAATCCAATGTGCTCTGCACGCGTGGGTTCGAATCCCATCCTCGTCGAATTAATTTTTGCTTTTCCATTCTCATCAAATACGATTTGTTATTTTTGCATTATTCACATACTGTTAGAATGTCTTTAGTATTAATATTAATGAAAATAATACATACACCTGTATTTAAACAAGCATTGCGTAAAGCATGAGGTAATTCGAGCAAGCCAAAAAGCTTTGTTAATTCAAAATTGCTGTTTGCGTGTTAGTTAAACGAAATAGAAATGAATTGCATTTACTCTAGGAAAGAAAACAAAAAAATGTATGACAAATGAGCTACTATAGAAATTATTTGGTCAAGGACTGCTGACTTCTAATTGATTTAAAGTACAGTTTATTATATAAATTATATTTATTATTTACTTGTTATAAAAATAGCACTTATTATATATTAGATCGTCAACTCTGATTAACATAACAATTACATAATATTACATAATATGTATATATATATAATAATGTACGTATATATAATTCATGTTGTACGCATGTCACGTGTTGCAAGATTTAAATGCATAATATCTATTTTTGTGTTAATATTTAAGGCACCGCTTTCATTGCAATAATGTTACAGCTACGAAATTTCTGGCAGTGAATTAGAAAGAATTGTGTTAGTTTGGAAATATTTTTGTTCCTGTTTTAACGAACGCGGGATATTTTCTTACTCTTGTCGTTTTCTATCGGCGGCGGTGGCCCTTTGGCGCTTTGGTGTCGATTATACACGCTGGAATAGAAAAAGAAACGGTCACAAGATATCTTGATAAACAATTTATACATAAAACAAGTGCATAATACTTACTACCTATACGTTTCAGAACGTATGTAATCTATAACGTGAGAAATGCCAACTTGCAATTGATCGCCGATCGGTGTTACCCACGGATTAAATTCCATTCGAAACACTGCCTTGTTACTCACCAAGTCCAAATTTCCTAAAATATTAGGTTTGCACTACTCTGTCTGTCTAATTCATAAAAGTATTTTTAAATTTGCTTCCGTTTTAAATGAGCACACCTATTTCTGGAGGTAGGACTGTTAGTCGGTTCCCTTGAATGTGTAACTCTCTGAGTCGCGTCAATTCTCCGATTTCTTTTGGCAACTCAATCAAATCATTTTCTCTCAGTACAAGCTACAATACGTGTAAAAATTCAATGTTAATTGAAGGATAATCTAAAAGCATCCTCGTACTCACAATTTGTAAATTCTTTAGTTGCCCAATTTCTGGAGGTAAATATTCAAAATCATTGTCAGCCAAATACAGTGCTCTCAATGTCTCTGTAAAAGGAAATACTGTTTGAATCTAGGCCTGAATTAAATACGACTTTAAATATGATCAAACTGCTACTAACCCATCATGAAAAAGTTCCCTGGCAAATTCTTCTCGCTTAAATTGTTATACGTTAGATCTAAGACCTCTAATACTGGAAAAGCACCAAATCCACGCGGAAGTACATCCAATTTGTTCATCCTATAAATTTGTTTATAATGTATAAGATGTCATAAATTAATGGTGAGCAAAAGAACTTACCCAACATTAAGAATCCGTAACTTTGGCATCTGCGACAATGAAATTGGAAGCTCAGTTATGTGATTATTGAACAGGTTCAGTATCTCCAAGTTGATTAGATTAGCAAGGCCCGGTGGTACAGCTGTACAAAGAAAACAATGTAAGCAAAGAGTATAATTTATCACTGACTGAAATGTCGGAAAAATTTTCCAAACATACCTTGAATTTTATTATGACTCAGTGTCAACCTTGTGATATTAATCATATTAACTGAAACAGAAAAAAAAAACATTTTAGACATTTGTACGCGCTAAAAAATAAAAAAAATTATGTGTTCCAAATCACCAACTAAAATTATATTGTTAAACAAACACGAATAGCAGTAACAATGACAATATTGATACCATCGTCAACATTCGTATTAATTTAGAAACGAAAAAAATTCGCAAAATATTGAGAAAAATCTATCTTCGTCAAAACGATGATCATTATTCGTTTTTGAATTGCTTGGCGGTCAAGATAATTTGCCGCGCATGCGGGGACACGCCCACCGCGTGGGCAAGCAACAAATGGCCACCTCGGATTTCCATCCGCTCCAAAAACCAGTCAAGACAAGTTGCCTAATTTGGCGAACGAAACAAGGCCTATGACGGTATGATGGACTCACGCAATCCGGGCATCTCCTCGAACGTTGAGATACTCTTATCCGCGAGATCCAACTCCGGGTTCTGGATCTCGCGGGCCTCGTCGAGCACCTTCTTCGCTTTTGACATCTTCCCCGCTGGAATACACGACACTGGGGCCTGATTCATTGCGCGCGCAATCGTACACATGCACGTCAGAAGCTTTAAATAAACCTCTCCCGTGACTCGACGCACGACTCACTAACTTTACTTGATCCTGCTCGCCGGATTGTAGTCGTAGATCGTCAACAGATGGCGCGCGCATTTGCACCGCCAATTTTGAAACAAGATACATGCGTATATCGTCCAGCTAGGGATTTTATTGTTTTGTCTTCTTTGAAGAGGTACTGGGAATATTTTGTAGAAAACGGAGATGAAGATTTAATGTAATTCAATGGATATACATTTTTCATAATTGAAACGATGGAAATTTCTGTTTAATTAGAGAATTTGTTAAAAGTAAAATATATTAAATTGTGAACGTTTCTTCAAAAGTATAAATTTTATGCGTCTTTACAGGTTTTGGGACAAAATATCCTGGTGTAAATTTTGTATTCTGCATAATAGTGACTGCACCAAGTAAGACACGCTCGTATCATTGCGTATTCATTGCAATTTAACTTTTCTTTTTTTTTTTTTAATTTTAGAAAATTCAAATGATCAAGATTACGAATAAAATAAAAACCTTACGTCGTTTTAACTACTAATTTTATCGACTAATTATCTCAATGCTAATGCTAAAGTTAGCTAATAATTTCAATTGTTAATTACTTTATTTCTCACACATCATTACAACATATTACAAATTACATACGAAACGTACTATACGTGAAATTACTTCTTTAAAATATTACACGATTAAACTTATGTCACAGATGTATATTCTACATACAAAAAATTTACTAAAGAACTGTTTTATATACTTATTACACGGGTCACGATTTACACTTGCATTGAATTTGTTAAGAAAAGAAAAGAATATCCGAAAACGATACAACGATTAATTTAGAAAATTGAAACAAATATTTTTGCTAAAAGATTAGCAGTAAAAGACAAAATTATTTTCGTAATTAAAACAGTCCAATCTATCCTTATCAGTCAATGGTGTTTATAATCATTGATTTACAATTGGTCAATGCTATGATAAATCTTTTTTGTGCATGATTCTTATCCAAGGAGCGTACTCGCTCCAATCACAAGTATACAGATGGCGACACGAATTCAATATTCGAAGATCATTTTATCCTTTTATCCGACACTTGATCCTTTTATATTGCGTTTCTTCGTCTCTATGAAAAATGACACGCAAATAAGTAAAGAGTACGGAGACTGCCAGTTTCACGATATAATGATATAAAACGAGCAATGCAGTTTCGAGTAATTATCAACGGATCGTAATCGGTTCGTTCGATTGGCGAGCAGGAACGAAGTTTTAATCGACGATATATATATATATATATATTTATCGACGCAGCGTCGGATACGCGTGTGGCTAATTAACGAAGATAAAAAAGACGGTTTATGTAATTGCGTCAGGTAATTACGGGCAGGTATCGAGCGAACGATGTGATAACCTCATCGGCCGGTTATAGCAATGTTAAGAATTTTTGCCCGGCCGAACTGCGGTTGAAATCGGAGCGGCTCGCATTCCAAGATGGTTTCAGTGGAACAGCGATGTGCGTTCAGCGATATTGATAAACAAGAACAACAGAAAATGACACTTTACTCGCGGCTGTTAAAGGGAACGAGATCAAGGACCGAGGACGCGCACCTTCCGGCTGTTGATTGACACCGATTCGTTTTTTCTTTTTTTTTTTCTTGTAACCCCATATCTGCATCTCGACAAACATGTGAAATATTTCTCTCGATATATTTCTCCGACATCGACTAATTCTTTTCCCTCTCGCGTTTGCCAGTAACTTTTAAACGTGTAATTCTGTCGGAGAAAATTATTTAATTCTCGTATCTTCTGTTTGACTTTCTCTGACTTTACGTTTCCTTCTATTGTATAAATACGTTGATTCATCGAATCGAAAAGATTATAAGCAATTGATTACATTTAACTCTCGTTCGTTGGATGACGAGAGTTCATTAAATAATTCTGATGAATCAAGTTATGTCCGTAAAGCGTTTTAATAAGAAGAGATTCTTTATGGTTAAAACGTGAAGCCAACTGTTGATGATGTCTCGAATGTATAATAATTCGAATATATTTTTAATCAGAAAGATCGCTTGTTGTAAGGCGAACATGACAGTGATCCAATGTATAGAAAAGTATACAAGTATACGAAATATAAATATCAAAGTTCAATCGTAAAGATTTCCATCTTCTTCTCATACTGTAAAGATCAAAGTATCTGCAACATAAATATCTCTGCAAACTTTAATTCAACTATCCTGACTTGGTTATTCGTCCTTTGTCCCTAACGCGGTGTATATTTTCTCGCTTAAATCATTCCGGATCGATAAAAATCGCGGCTCTGAGCTCATCTCTCGCGAGGCAACTCCAACAATGCCTACATTAATCACGCTAGAAAACGTATCGGTAGGCGATAATACTTCAACCGAACAAGTGGAAAATTTATCAAATTACTCTGATAGCCCGGGATAATCGACGTTCCTCTCGAGACCGTGTACACCGATTACCATCGAGGTATACTCTTCGTATAAATCCCCAGCCAGTTCCTCCGCCGGGGGATTCTAACCCAGAAGAATCGCAATGCTTGGCTCGCCGCCGAGGTTGGTACACGATGTTTTGTTTGCCAACGTGGCAGGACAACACGAGGTAAATGCCTGTACCTCGACTCTCGCTAAAAGTACGAAGAGCGTGGCGCCAAAGAGTACCCGAGGGCCCCGCGAGGTTACCGACCTTGGCGTGCACCGTAAAGGACGGAGTTAGTCGAGGGGCGCCCCTCGTCCATCCATCATTGCTATCCAGCAATCAGTGCCAAGCCGTATTATCGGTCAATTTACCGTCGTCGGCCGTGGCCGGTCTCTTCAGCTCGAACAAGATCGAACAACTCTCGTTTCATGTCAAAATATATTCGTGGCAAATATTCGAGGATAATGAGAGGAATCGCGTACGCGTAGCTTCAACGTTTTCGTTGCTTTCGCTCTATCGTGCAACGTACCTATCTTGTCGTTTTTTTTTTTTTTTATGTTACAATAAATCATGTTACAATAAAACATTAACGAAAATTTGTTATTTCTTACACTAGGAATCAAGCGCCAATGACGTTTTGAATCGTCACATACTGATCCAGTACGATTAGTCTCGCGAGTAGAAGATCGAGTGGAAATGCAAATGGAAAACGGCACGAACGACGGTGTAAAATTCATCTCGTGATTGTTAGAATGGGAATAAGTGGACAGTTGGGGACGCGCCGGATGAGTATTACGATCTCGTATCGAGTAGTATAGCTTGCTGGCCCGCCAACAACGGTTTTACAACATCGGCAGCCGCGTAACGTATAAATTACACGAACCGCGTTTATAACTTATACCGCCACGGCTGTAAGTTATAGGGCGTCGTGCAATCTATGAGTTATAACTGTTGCGATGATAATTTATAAGTAACGACTGCCGAAGTTATAACGCCCGGAGGTACGTACCGGAGACGTTTGTAGCGTCTCGACACACTACTTGCATTCGCCCGCAACCGATGCGAATCGAAACGTAAATTTTCGCGCCCGGGATTTGCGGGGGGAACCTTTTCAGTCTCTGCGATATTTAGATATATCGTACGAAGCCGTTTATCAGCCGACTGAGACCGAAACAGAGTTAATTCGTTTGTTCCTTTCGTTCTCGAGAATTACGTCCTCCCTCAAAAAAGAAAAAAGAAAAAAAAAAAAAAACTAACCTAGAGGGAATAAATGCAAGATGTAGAGATTACAAAAGTTAGCTTATGAGTTAACCGAAGAGGTTCTTAATCTTAATCTTGGAGGGTTGCGAGGTTAGCAACGTGTGAGGAAAGGAAATTCATGTTTTATCCTTGATCTCTGAGCGGATGATTCAATTCGGTTGTTTTGAATAACTTGTCACTTGATGGGAAACTACACACGTGAAGTAATAGAATTTTTTACTTGGTGAATCAATTATTAAGTAAGGATTAATGACTCTTTCGTTACAGTGATCTATGATTTCTCATGAAACAGAATGGCTGCCTCATTCAATCATTCCTTCACATAGATTGCAAATTACATTCGTAGCAAAATTACTCAATAATCGAATCTACAACTTGCAATTTGTAATTTGTTCTGTCAGTCGATATTATTTTTCTTAGCTAGTATTTTGAACAAATATATTATTACCGTTGTTGTTATTCAGTAAATTATAGTACAAGAAAGCCTCGAGGAACACTCCTCACTCCCGCCGCGTGCTAGAAAATACTTGGAACTGCAGCCGGTGGGAATAAGATTGATAAAAATCGAGTTCAACAACATTTGAAGAGTCAGGTTGATGGCAGAGGAGATCGGGGAAAAATCAGCGCGCGCTCGACTTTTACGCAAGGAGACCTGCGCCCCGTACATAAATCTCGCGGAACGTGGCCAACTCTGGGTGCGTTCTTCTTCGAGGCAGGCGCACGTGCGTTCGCCACGCGTGTGCACTGCGGGATGAGATCCCCGCGGACGCGCAACAACGCGATCCAACGAGAGAAACAGGCGATCCTCGGAGAAAGGGGCTGCGTGATAGGAGGGGATGCCCACGTGGAATATCCAGTGCAGCATGTAAAAGCCCGTTATGCTCGGGACGGTGACGGTGTTTGCGTGGTGTATAAGCGCGTATGCATTAGCATGGCGTACGCTATAAATAGATGTAGCAGACCGCAGAAGAGATCCTAGCCCACCCCACCGCCACCTTCAACTCCTTCTCCCGCGTATCAGAATGCGCTTGGTAGTCGCGTACACCCTTGGACTCTGGTAAAAAAAATTCTACAGGGTCTTATCGTCCCATGAAAAGATTTTAACGTTTCTATTGAAATTTTACATTCATAATTTATACGTGAGACAGTATACAAGGTGTTTCGTAACTTGTGGGAGCTTCCACTTCGAGGAGCTGATTGTACGTTTAAAAATAATGAAAAAAATGTCATATAAATATATGTCCTGTCTATCTTCGTTTATGAGATATAATGAATTTTCTGTTTTAATTACTCTTACAAAAGATGCTCGAAATGACCACCGTTGCATTTGAAGACAAGCCT